GCAGTTATTTTTCTATAATTTAAAAGTAAAATTCAGGCAAATCAAAATGTTTTCTCTGGTAGACTCAAGGATATCCAGCTCACTTTTAAAATAATCCTGTGGAACTTTGATACTTCTATTTCTGTAAGTTAAGTCCCAAGGGAAACAAAAGACAAACCTGGCCCCAAATCACCTTCCCAGTTTCAGTAAAAGCCTGAAACTCTCTGATATTGGTCATATTTAATTTCCAACATAAACAACTGCTCACCAATGTCAGGAACATTGGAATAGAGTAATAGAGAAAACCTTATTATACCCCTTAAAAAAAAAAAAAAAAGAAAATCTGCCCTCTGGCACTTTTCTCCATTTGTGTAATATTTAACAAACAGTTGCTGATGGTATAAATACAAAATACACCTGGAATCAACCAGAACCAGGTGCCCAACCCGGGCACACTTTGTGCAGCACAAACTTGGAGCAGGGTTGGGGTTTGAGTGATTTAGGATCCCTGCAGCATTTTTCAGGGTTTTTCAGCAGAGTGTGTTTGTGGGGTTATACCCAATGTGCTGACAGGTTTTGTGGTGCTTCTTCCTCTAGAGGGAAAAGAGCTCAGCACATTTAATTGGAGGTATCAACACAAAATATATGAATTTTTAAGAAAGAAAGGAGAAAGGGAAGCGGCCAGGAGCCTATTAAGTGTCTCAAATGAGGAAAAGACAAAAAAAAAATCTGAGTGGGTTGATTATTCCTGATGTTCTTTAAAATGAAAGTAAAAGCAGCAGATTTTTGCAAAAGATTATTGACTTTCTCTATGGCTTTATTTCCAACACAGAAATAAAGGGAGGGCTGAGCAAAATAATTGAAGCAGCTGCTAATAGCATTTTAAATTTCAGGCTGATTTTATTGGCAAAACGTCTCTGCATTGGTTATTAATGAGCAGTTGAACCAGTTGCATGAACACTTTGTATTTTTTAGGTTTTGTAGCAAAATTTTGCTCAGATATCTCACGAGATAAATAAATCTTGGGCCCTCTATGCAATTATCTGAAGCACTGAAGAAATGGGGAAGGGAAAACCGACCTTGAGGAATCCAAACCAAGGCTGCAGTTGTCTCATTTCTCAGCAAAGGATGAGCAAGTGTTGTGATCTACAAATTAAACCTTTTCCTGTGCTCGGTGGCAGTTTAAGGATTAATTTGTGCAGCAGCTTAGCTGGGTTCTCGTGTAGCAAAGCCTTCTCTTAATCTGAATTTCTGAGAGCCAGAAGGGGGGACTCAGCTGCCTTCCTGGCCTGCCAAGAGAGCATTCCTTGCCTCAATGCTGTTTGTATTTCACAGAGTTTCACATTGTGTGAAATTAATGGCGTGTGATGAACCCTGTATGCAGGGAGCAGAGAAAGTTTGTATCTGTGCTGTGCTGGGCCAGTTTATAAACTGTGGCTCCTGAGAAATGTTTTGGAATGTCAGATGTTGGTATTTTGTGGCTTAGATGTGAAGCAAACGCTGAAAACAAGAGGCAAATTAAGAAGAGGAAGAGGAAAAAAATCATAGTATTTTGTTCTCCAAACCTAGTATTTGGCACTGGAAATAATTCCTAGCTGGTGGCTAAGGTTTTTTGGGGTTTTTTTTGTCCTGGTAAAGGAGAAAAGTCCTCTTGTCTGGAGTGCCTCAGGTGGGGAAGCTGTGAGGAGTCCCCTGGCCTGAGCTGTGGTCTCACATCCACGGTGCAATCGTGTCTGGGTGCTGCTGCCAGCAGCGAGTGTGCAGGGAGCAGGAGGCTGTGTGGTTTTGTCAGTAATTCAGAAACCACAAGCAGGATTTTTCTGGCTTTATAGGCAGAGCTGGCTTTGACAGTGCTTGATGTGCTCCGAAACGTGCAAAGGCTGCTGGGCTCAGGCAGGGACACAGCAAGATTGCTGATGCTCTGTCATTTCCTTCCATTTCTTCTTTGAGGACTGTATCAGCCTCCTGCGTTTCAAAATTCAAATTTAACATGGAAAAATTGTACTTATAAAGGCCCTCAGCCCTTAAGATTCTCCCATAAAGCCTCAAGAATATTCTCCAGTCTGAAGACCAGGACTTTGTTAATTTGTGTTCTTGGTGTTAATTGTGAGTCTCTACCAGAGGAGTGAAATGATCTTATGGATGTTAAATAATCATGAAGTAAATTGGATTGATACAATTTTTATTTGGAAAGAGGAAATGACTCCTGTATTGTTGTGGTTTACAAATATTTAAATGCTTAAACTAATTGGCGGCCTCAATTTTGAATGGGGAAGCAAAATCAAACACATGATGTGCTCAGAGTTTCTCACAGCACTTGCCAGGAAGAATCCAAGTTTTGAAAACAGTTGGCCTGCTTTCAGAAAGAGATTTTAATGAGATTAAAAGAGAAAGAATGTGCAAGTTTGATTAGAAAGTTTGGCCGTGCTCTGACAATGGGTTTTTGCAAGCCAGCACAGCAAATGCTGTTGTTTGTAGGGCTAGAATTGATTTGTTCTGAAACATGAAAAGTAGGAATGAGTGGGTAACAAATTATTCCAGCACAGTGTCCTGGGTTAGTGTGAGAGAATCTAGAAGGCAACTTCAGTGGCCCAATTTTCTCCTTGATTTTCAGTTTTTCAGCTGGTTATTTGCCAGTCAGAATTGAACCGAGGATTTTATGGGTTGTACAAAGCAACCTGATTTCAAAACAGAAAGTATCACACCAGTCTTTCCCTTTCCTTGTGTCAGGGCTTCTCCTCCAGCTGGGGTGGAGAGCAGTGTTGGAATATTCTGGAGCTTGGCAAGGCAGGGAGAGCCTGGTGCATGAGGAAAGATCCATTTGCCTATAGGCACACCCCCAGGAATAGCTCGAATAAATAAATAAATGTGCAAATTTGGGGCTGAAATCGCTTCCAAAAGTCTCTTGGATTATCCACATCCACTTGGTCAGGCTCCTGTCACCGTGGTTTATCAGTAAGTAACAGAGCTGGGCTGAGGAGGCCATGGGGGGTGGGAGGGGCAGCTTGTGAACACTTCTTTTAAATGACCTGGATCTGCAAAGGCTTGAGAATCACTGAGTCAGTATAAAGGCAATAAAACGAGGTCTTTTGGTCCTTATAACAATGATTGAAAGGCTGTTTTCTTTCTCATTTAACATGCAGCAAGGACATATGGGAGAAGGCGAGGTAACAATATTCCTCTTTAATTTTCTAATGTTGACAATGTCTCATGGGAGAAATAACATTCAGTTTTTACTAGAGGGCAAAGTCCAAACTTTAAGCTTATAAGGGAGCAGTTTCACATACATTTACATAGTCTGCATGCCATAAATGAGCATTTTAAGTGGATTAGGGAGTACCTGAGGCTGAAATGATCACAGTGGACATCACCTGGATGGTTTGTGACCCTGGGGGGCTGTGTTTGTGTGTGTGTTTGTGTGTGTGTTATGAATGCCAGTGCTGGAGGAGTTTATTGTGGGAATTTTGGGTGCTGATGGAGCATAAATACAGTGAGTGTCCGAGCTGCTGGGTTCAGTGTGTGTGTGGAGTTCTCCAGCAGCAGCTGAGGAGCCTGGAAAGGGGAGTTAGGTTTGGGAATTGCTCCCTCCCAACGATACCTGCAGTACTGGGTCTTAAGAGATGAAACAAATCACAAGTGCAGCAGTTCCCTAGGGAAAAACAACGTTGAAGTCAATATTACAATATTTTTATCATAGTAGGAATGAGGTTTGCCCAGCTACAGAGAGAGGTCTGATTATACTTGACTGTTATTTTTATTAAAGGTGTGTAAAAGATTCTTGAAATTTCAAATAAGGCAACCTGACCGAGCCTTCAATTTTTTATTCATAGAAATTCTATGGACTGTGGATTTTACTGCTTTTATTTTTTCCTTTCAGCTTCTTAGCTGTTTGATTTTTGTCACAGAAAATATCTGTATCTTGGTCAGATTTTCTGTTTTCAAGATGTTTTCCTTTTTAAAACCATTTTCTTTCAAGGGGAGGAAGCAAAACCAGGATAAATTAACCTCACCAGTACATTTCTGTGGTAGATTGGGATGAATTCTGAAAAAACAGACACAGTGTATCACATCATAGACAAAAGGAAATGTATCCTAGAACTTGCAGCACGCCTCATTACTTACTCTCCCTATATATATTTATTCCTAAAATGCTCCTTAAATGAATAGAAGTCTCAGTTTGCTGTGTAGCTGTTGAATATTGGAATTAAAGAGGGAATTCATGGCAGAGAACAGCTCCTGTGCTCTATTTATGATATTATACAGTGGCATTTATAACAAAGAACCTTATTTAAAAGAAATATTATTAAGGAAATCTATGATAAAGGATTGTCATAGAAAGATGCTGGACTGCGAGGGGAACATTTCTCATTTTACATTTTCTCTTAGAGTGAGGCCATTAACAAAACTCTGTTGTAACACTGAAGTAAAGTTGTAGGGGGGACAAAATTTCCAGTCTGCAGTAAATGACAGTGTAATGTTTTCCTCAGGTTATTTTTGTTATTTACTAGTGGGTGGTTTATGATATGTTTTGATATCAGGTAATTTAAATGTGTAATATATTTAAGTGGTAGAATTCTTGTTTTCCCATTTTCACCTTGAAATTTTATCTATTCCCTGCAAGAAGCTGTTCACTGGAAAATGGAATAGATGGCTTGATATTGTGAAAGCCCCAGAAACCAAATTGGCTGTTCCCTTCCCTTTTAATACTTTTTAAAAGAAACCTCATTGGAAACACAAAATATTATGGAAAGCAGTCAGCTCGAGCACCCGTTAGAAATCCTGGTTTGTATGAGGAAGAACCTTTCCTCTGAAATGAAGCATTTGAGCTGCTGGATGATGCTGGAAACTGAAAGGGTGCAATGAAATCGAGAACATAACTGCTCATTCAGAGGGCAAATCACTCCCAGTTCTGCTGATGCAGCAACTGGTGCATTTTCCCCAATTATTCCAACAGTGTGCGCTTTGTTCTGTTAGTATGGTTTTTTTTCCCTGTTTTTCTTTTTTTCCAACCCCCTCTTCAGGTCAGTCCTCGCTGTTCCCGATGGAGGATGGGTTCCTGGACGATGGGCGTGGGGATCAGAGCCTGCACAGCGGGTTGGGGTCTCCCCACTGCTTCTCCCACCAGAACGGGGAGCGCGTGGAACGCTACTCCCGCAAGGTCTTTGTGGGAGGGCTGCCTCCGGACATCGATGAAGGTAAAATCCCCAGCCAGGGCAGAGCCTTTTGTCTGCCAGCTCAGGGATGGGTGTTCTCTACAAGCTTTGATATGGAAATGGATCTTTCTTGTGAGTTTAGGCCCTGGTGTTGTACTGCCACTGAAGAACAAAATCACATTGTCATGATTAAACTGACTTCAGCAGGATAAAAAAGTACAAAAGTGCAGAATTAAACAAGCCAAAATCACCTGTGGAAACTCATAAATCCATTGCAATCATTGTACAGGCCCCAGAAGTCAGCAGCAGGAAAAGCTGCTCCTAGTTTTGTAAGGTATGTGTGGGGTAGCAAGTCCTTGCTCTGGACTTGGTCACTCCTGTGTAGCTGAGGTTGTTTCCAGCAATGATTTTTGTCCTGTGGTAGCTCCTGACCTGTGCATGGTGAGAACCCAGACAGGAATGAATCTGTGCAGGGCATCCTGAGGCACCAGAGGTTTGTGGTGGTCCACACACAAATACACGTGGAAGAATACTACAGTTGTTGTTAAAATAAAATTTAACAGCCAGGTACAGGTGTTCTGAAGCTTCGTTTCACCAGAGCTCTGTGTTCTGTCTGTATGAGCCTGCTGGGATAGTGGTTAGAAGAAATGCAACAATAAAGCTGAAAAGTTTTTTTCTTAATCACAGAATTGTTTTAATCCCCACTTTTTTTTTGTGTCAGAGCTTGTAATGCACTGCTGTGACATAGTAACCTGAATTTCATGTCACCTGAGAGCAGTTGATTATTATAACAGTATAGATGCAGTGGCTCAGCTCCTGAGAATTAGTGGGTTATGAGCTTTTATTTATAAGTAGAAAGGAAAGTTTGAGCTTTGGCCTGTCTTGTTTTATAAGGAGTGTTCTGCCTTGTCACAAAGATCCCCCATCAGCTACTGAGCACTGCTGTGAGCTGCTGAAGCTGGAGGGTCACAGAATGTTTGTTTATAGGATGAAGCTGCCTGAAATCAGTGTCTTTCAAATGCCTTAAGTTCAGTTTATTTTAATGCCTTTTCCCTTCTCTCCTGTTCCAGATGAGATTACTGCAAGTTTTCGGCGCTTTGGACCTTTGATTGTAGACTGGCCACACAAGGCAGAGAGCAAATCTTATTTTCCTCCTAAAGGTAAATACTGCAAACCAATAAGATGAGCATGTTAGAATAATTTTTTGTGACAAAGCACAACATTGGTCTGGCAGTGACACAGTGTTTAGGGGGAAAAAAAGAATTTCATCCTTGGGATTGTTCTAAACTGGTGAAGTTTCAAATATGGCTTTGCAGTTATTATTCACTAAAAGAATTCTTCCTTAACTTCCTGTTTTTACTTTATTCCATTTTCTCTCTTTCCCCCTGTTGTTGTACATGTAGTAAGAGCTTTTTAAAGGCACTAAATGCCTTCCACAGCAGCTGGGAAGGATTTTTCCCTTAGAAGAACAACCAGAGCACTTGTGGGTTGGAAATGTGTGCTGAGAGCACCTTAAATCTTTTCCCTTCTTGTGTGGCAGCGTGATGTCAAACCCAATTCTGAGTTAAATTCTGATCCTGTAGACAAACAGACAGCAGCATTGATGTTTGTGTTTTCCCTTGGCCAGGATATGCATTTTTGCTGTTCCAAGATGAAAGCTCTGTGCAGGCACTGATTGATGCATGCATTGAAGAAGATGGAAAGCTCTATCTCTGTGTTTCCAGCCCCACTATCAAAGACAAACCGGTAGGTGGAATTGTCAGGCCCTGCACAATTCCTGAGTGATAATCACAAATTGGGCTCTTCAAATGCAGTTTTTTCTGTCTTCAGAATGTTAATGTTAAAATTTCTTTTAAGGTGTCAAATTAAGAAGAGAAAAGACCAACTTACTACTTTTGAACTAGACATAAGAAAGTTTTTTAGTCTAGTTACCATGCTTATTTTTATCAGAAAAAGATGTATTTCCAGACAGGTATTTTATGCTTGCTAATGATGAACATGTAGAATTCATATTGTTTGAATGTTATATGTAACAGATAAATCCTAAAAAACATACCATGGCATTGAACTGTAAATTATTCATATACAAATGGTTGGGGGGCTGACACAAGTCTGTCAGTGGTTGGGGAGAATTCTGCTCTAGTCCTGTGCTTCAAATTTTGGCCAGCTGTAACCAAATACAAAGCAGCACAGGAGCTGAACAGGCATCTCTGAGCCTGCTGCACTGAGATAAGGCTGGGACAACAGGAGCAGTGCAGATCTGTGTGACCAGGGGGGTTGTACAGCACAGCTCAGTCATGATTAGGTAAATGTGTGAGCAGAGGGTGAGGGCCTTTTTCCCCAGAAATTTGGGTAACAAGGAAGTGATGAAATTTAGCATCCTCAGATGGTCTGTCTTAAGAGAGCTCGTTACCATTTCATTTTGAGAAATGATTGCTGAACAAGTAGAGTTTAGAAAGTACAGCTGTTTAAGAAGTTTTCTTCTCTGTAGGACGCTGTTGTAATTTATATTACTGAGACACTTTGAATTGTGAATGGTTAAAAAAACCAGGCTTTTTGTCCATAGGTTCAGATCCGGCCTTGGAACCTTAGTGATAGTGATTTTGTTATGGATGGTTCCCAGCCTCTTGACCCAAGAAAAACCATTTTTGTTGGTGGTGTTCCTCGGCCTTTACGAGCAGGTACACACTGCAGCACTGGGCATGTTGGATGTGCAGCCTGGTTTGGGGAGCACTGGGGGAAGCGAGCCTGGCAGCGAGGGAAATCTTGAGCGTGGTGACACAGTGGGGGACACGAGCCATCCTGAGGTGGTGCTTTGAGAGAAACAAGCGAGCCTAGAGCCCTGTTTGGTTTTGCTTTGTGCTGCAGTGGAGCTGGCGATGATCATGGACCGGCTCTACGGAGGGGTTTGCTACGCCGGCATCGACACCGACCCCGAGCTGAAGTACCCCAAGGGAGCTGGGCGGGTGGCATTTTCCAACCAACAGAGCTACATTGCTGCTATCAGCGCCCGCTTCGTCCAGCTGCAGCACGGAGAGATTGATAAACGGGTAAGGCCTGCTCCCCCCTGCTCCTCTGCAGACGGCCTCCCTGCCTCAGAGGTGTGCTTGCAGTGTTACAGCAGGTTAATCCCGTTTTTAGTGCTGCTTAGATGCAGCACGGGGTGAAAGCGGAGTGGTAGGGAGCTGGTGGTGCTGGCACGTGGGAGGTGACTGTGAAAAAAAGTTTCATGAGTTGCTGAGTGTAGTGGGAAGTGTGGCAGCTGCCTTGGCCTTTTCTAAGAATATTGCGCTCCTCAGATGCTCCCGCTGCAAGGATTTGTGGTGGTTGTGAGATGCAGGGAGGGAGGTGCCTGCCAAGGATGGGGCAGCTCTTATCCTGCTCTGCCTCCTTTGGGAGAAGAGGCAGAACCACCCCAATGTGTGCTGGGTGTCCAGGAGCATCCTGGTAATGCCTCGTAAGCTTGGTACTGTGCCCTGCAGCCACCCTCCACAGCCTGTGCAAAGGCTGTGCTTGCTTATTTCATTCCTTTATTATTGTATTCCTTATTATTTTAAATTAGAGAAATATGCCAAATGGATCAGCACTTTGCTTTCTGCCCTCTTCATCTCTCTAAAATGTAATGCCAGTTACAGTGATATTCAGACCACAGTTTTGGGAAACTCAGATGCTCACATCTCTTCTTGTAATTCATCCTTTGTCTCTGGATTTTTCCTACATGACTGTCACTGCTGATCTTAATTTTAAAGTTAATACAGTGGAAAACCTCCAAACTTGGCTGATTAGCCCATTATCTTTTCACTTCTGCTCTGGCTATAAAGCAGAAGAATTGTAACAACAATTTGACTGTGGGCCTGTGAATTGGAATGTCTTTGTTCTAATCTTGGCTCTGAAAATAAGTTCTGTACAGCTTTGAACAAATAATTTGGGCTGCCCTTGTGCAACTTGTGCTTGCATAAGCAGACACTTGGGTGAATAGGTCCATTGAAGCTGGTGGGACTACAAATTTAAGTAAGTACTTTTAAACTCTGAAAAAAAATTTTGCAATCTATTTCCCCTTCCTTCTCTCCCACCACTCCCTATTTCCTCATTTTTTGTGCAGTTTTTGTGTGGGGAGATAATGCTCAGAGAGGAATCATTATAACAGAAATCGGGTGCATGAGGGAGGTAAAAATACAACAACACTAGTTTTTATTAAGGTTCTATTTATTTTTAGTTTCCCAATACTGTTTTTCTGTAAAAAGAAAAATAAAACTAATAATAAAAAAAACAGTAACAAGAAGGGATTTCCTGTAAAATTAGGCAAGGAGGTGCTGCTAAAGGGTGTGCTCTGAGATAATGCACAGGAAGGGTTCAGTGGGCCTGATGGAGCTGCTGTAACTGAGGCTTTCCCTGGAGCTGGGAAATCCTCTGTGCCCAGCTCAGGGAGCAGTTCCAGCCCTGTCACACTCGGAATTAATGTGACAAGGACACCTGAGCTGCAGTGTGGCCTCTGAAGGTGGCTGAGCAGAGGGAATGGAGCAGAATCACCACATGAAGGAGGCCTGTGTGGCATCTTTGTCCTTTTAGCACTTGGAGAAGGCAGCACTCCTCAAAAAATCCCCAACCTCCCACTGCAGAGCAGATTAGGGGATGGGGAATGTGGTGTTAGGAATATTTGCCTGCTTCTGCTCTTCTACAAATTGACTGAGTTGGCAGGGCAGGGTTTTGGGAAATGCAACTCGAGCACTGCAAGAGGAGAAAAACATGTCATTAAAAAGGCTGCTGTGCTCTGTCTGAGCAGTTTATGTGTCCTGTAAGCAAAAATGACATCAAACTACTGCAGTGCCATCTGGGCTGTGATAAAATTGGGTGGGTTTAAAAACCCAACATCTTGTGAATGTCCTTATTTGCCTGAGGTGTGTCCGAGGCCTGTGAGGTGCAGAGGGGAGCAGCCCCAGGCCAGATGCAGAGATAACAGCAGAGATATCAGACACAGCCTGGGTGTTTGAAAATCGTGGTGAAAGCATCACGTTCAATGAACTTCAGAGAAGGTTCACAATTCTAGAGCAGGAATTTGCACCTATATTTATTTCTGCTGTTCTGAATTCCTGCTCATCACCTGGCCCTTAATGCCAGCAGCGTAGGAGGGCATCAGTCCTGTGGTAAGCCTCTCATTAGATCCCAACAAGATCAGGTGGATTTCCTTTTGATGAGAGGACTAAGCCATGGAAAAAATACAGAAATGAAGTGTTTATTTAGAGAATAAATGAATTGTCTTAATGCTGGAAATTCAGACATGTGCATATTTAATCAGCAGTTACAGTGTTGTATAAAGTTTCCATTTCTGCCTGAAAGGGACAGAGCTTAACTGGGCATCAAAAATAACTCCCATAATTATCCGAGGTTTTGGTGTCAGTCAATACATTGTTTGAGCCTTTCTGTAAATCGGTGACAGCAGGTGTGAGACTGATGGTCAGCACTGATTTCTGGGGTTTTTCTGAAGGATCAAAGAGGGGGTAGAAGTGGAATTTGAGGTGTTCAACAGCCACGTTCAGGTGTCACAAGGGAAATCTTGGTTCTAGCATTCCCTACTGCATAACTGCTGGCTACCCTGCTAAAACACAGGTGTGGAGTTAAGAATTTGCACTGAAGAATGACCAACCTGTCTCGTTTTGTGGCTGCAGGTGGAAGTTAAGCCATATGTCTTGGACGATCAGCTGTGTGACGAGTGTCAGGGCGCCCGCTGCGGCGGGAAGTTCGCCCCGTTCTTCTGTGCTAACGTGACGTGTCTGCAGTATTACTGTGAATATTGCTGGGCTGCTATCCATTCCCGTGCCGGCAGGGAATTCCACAAGCCCCTGGTGAAGGAGGGAGGGGACCGCCCGAGACATATTTCATTCCGCTGGAACTAAAGGATCGCTCATTTGCAAGCCTCCAATTAAGTGCACTCTTCTGTTCCTCCCCACCCCGCCCCTCACTCACAGCATGTCCTTTTGTAGTAGTCTGTAATTTAACAATAGTCTAATGAAAGAATGACCTATAATGGGTATTTTATAGAATCTTGTCATTGAAAACTGTATTGGGAACTCCTTTTCGTATCGATAACATGTTGCAAGTGAGTTGCATTCTCTTGTCTTTACTACCGAGAGAACACTTAATTTCCTGCAACGTTTTCTTAGAGGAGAGAAAAACTATTAAGAGAAGAGAATTGAAACAATAGAGTATTTTGGTTTTTTAATTAAATTATTGTTAATAAAGAACATAATAATACTTTTATTAAATAACCGTGTAACAATAACACTATCAGTCTGTTCTGACACTTTTCCCCCAGGGAAGCCTGTTTTTGCCTCTTTTTCTTTTTCTTTTTTTTTTTTTTTTTTTTCTTTTGGTTTTGTTTTGTTTGTTTTTGGATTTTTCCAGCAACAGATGAAGTTACATTTACCTACCAACAGGAAAGAGCATGTTTAAAGCAACAGAAATGCATGAGCAAAGTTGAAGCAGCACTATAATAATGATCTTTTTTGTTTGTTTTTTTCTTTTAAACTCTTTTAAGGGTTTTGAGGCTGAAATTTTAGCTCGGTGTGTATCTGACCGTGCCTCTGGCTACCACCCACATCCAAATTACTAATGAGATAGGCAGAGCTTACTATATTTTCATCAAAATGATTACATTTTAAGAATTCCTGAATGTAAAAGTTGAGTAAAGTTACTACTGAGGGGGGAGTGCACTTTTTTTTTCTTTAAGAGAACTCAATTGTCTGGTTACAGCCCTAGATATCCTACCAAAGCTAGAGTAATGACAACTAGTGAACTGGCATTTCCTCTCCTGAAGGATAAATATATAGATTTTATTTTTGATGGCTATATATAACTCTATATCCTAATATACTAACATTCATCAGGGGCCAGCCTTTGCTCTCCATTTTGACATGAAAAAGTAGAAAACCTAAAGATACCTCAAGGATATCACTGATTTTTACTGGAGTTTTGCTATTCCATTGTGGCACACAAACTCAAATTGGCTGCTTATTGGTTTCCCATCTTGGCTGTAAAGTCAGTTTTTGATCCCCTCAAATTTAGCTGTAACAGAAGGCATGAACCCAAGGCGTTTCCAAATCCCGCTCTGCACCGCCGGCCGAATTTTGTGCACGGAATGGTGCAAGTGTGCAGATGCCTTTCTTACTCTTCCTGTAGAAAGAATCCCAGCTCAGATCCCAGCTCTTCAGAACTAATTGTGGGGAGATAAAGACACGCAGGTGGAAGTGCCAACATCGCTAATTAACGCCGGCTTTATTGGAACTCAGTCCTGCCTTGAGAAGAATCAGCCCGGGACACGCGAACCGAACGCTGACGAGTGGGTGCAGAGGGTTTAGTTTGAAACAGATCAATGAAGGAGTAGTTCTGAAAATTTATTTTTAGTACTTTTGAACTAAATGCCCTGGCCAACTTCTCCACCAAGGATGTAGCAGTGTGCAAACAAAGTGATTCTGTGGCAATCTCTGCCCGGCCCCCGGGGCCTGGGACCACCCGAGAGTCTCCCAAACCAAAGATTTGCCCTGGCACTGCTTGGAAAACATCTGCTCCCTTCAAAGCCCCCCTCATCCCTTTCCCCAGCCCCCATTATCTTTATGAGAAGCAGTTTTTCTGTTCAATACAGGCTTTAATGAACTGATACCTTACCAAGTTCCAAAGGTCAAAATGGAGACATTTGCTGTCTATTAGTCAAGTATAGCAAGGGAGCTGCTTTTACTGAAATCCCTGAAAATATTGACAACAGTAATGCAAATGCAGAGTGCTCTTGTGTAGATTGTCAGGGACTTTTTTTTCTCTGAAGTACATAATTCTAGTTGGAATGTTCCTTTCATTTTTTTAATGCTTGTAGGTGGCTTGGGGTGTGCTATTGTGCCGATCCTACCCAGCAAACAGGTGAGGTGGGTTTCCATTACAAGAAAATAACACTGTTTGAGAACTAGCTTTGAATAATAATTTTTTCCCTTTGTACATGACCTGCTGAATTTCGGTACAGTGTTTTTGTAGCTAACTTATTTTGTCATGCACATAATGTATATTTGTTATGCACTACTTTTGTATATCTTGTTTTTCCAACAGTGAGCATTTTTAGGCACACTTTTCACTGACGGGATATCTCTTTATGCAATACCTCAATTTTTCATATTGCAAAGAGTAGCTTTTTGTACTTTTATTACTGAGAGATCTTCATATACTTCATTTTTTAATATAAATAATTTTAATAAATTTTATTTTCTTATATTCTGCTTTTTATACATTTCAGTGCTCTGCATACATTTTGAATTATGGATGTTGTGCACTGGCAATGCTATTTTAGAATCTGCAGAGAAAAGAAAGCATGTTGCTTAAACATCTTAGCCCAGCACCAGGTATTTGGTGTACATATAATTTAAGAAATAGTATATGTAAAGTTGAGAATTAAAGAAGAAAAAGCATGAAAGTGACAAATGACACTTGTCTTTAGACCCATGAAATTTAAATGCATAAATATAGTGTAGAAATTTAAAAGTCAAGAACCATCAAAATTGTCTACCGCTTCTTACTGAGTTTTTAAAAATTATACACAAATGCAGACGTTTTTGGTGAATGTTTAGCCATTTTTATTATTAATAAAGAATCGATGTTAGGTGTTTGATGCAGAACCGTGTCTGCTCTTTTAAATTATATTTAAAGAATAAAAGAGAGCCTGCTAGGTGGCAGGCATGTAATGTTAGTATGCATGACTAATGTAAGAAATCGTTATTCTACTAATATTCACTTGTGATTGTGTGACAAGCGTGTTTACAGATCCTTTGGTTACACTTCGATTTACAGGGCATAAACAATTCTCTCCATTACTCTGTGCTTCAACAGTGCTGGCCAAGCCTCTGATGGCACGGGGCTCTCTGGGGTTACCGTGTAGCCCCAGGCTCATTAACGTGTAATTAGCTACCGGTGGGGGGGGTGTCATTAATGAGCAGCGGCGTTCCCGGGGGAGTGACAGAGTAATTCCATGGTTATTTTTGCAATGTAAAATAAAGTGTTTCTGATTATTTTATATGTAAAGGAACCCCACTGCCCCGTGCTTTTTTGGTATAGTCTCTACTTCTCCATACACAGACCTCTGCAGAATGCAAATTTCAACCTTGCAGTGACTGAATTTAGCGTTTTATAAGGATGCTGTTGGAAAGACTTGATAATTCACCCCTTGTGTTTTTGAAGAGTTCAAACCTTCTGTTCAAAGGTGATTTAAAACTTGAATGTGATGGATTGTGGCAAGTTAACTTCAAGTTATGTGCAATACCTATTTCAGACTTCTGGAAGATCTTTGCAGTGTAATTCTTTGTTTTTAATTGCAGACATTTAAAAATGTCATTTTCTACTGTTCTAGTAAATCCTCTTTCTTGCTGGTGTTTCTAAAGAAAAGAATCAGAAATCAATCTTTCTACTAATGTAAATTTGAGATTATTTTTAAAAAAAAATGGAATAAAACGTTTTGGTCATTTGCTTTATTTTATTATCTTATTTTAAAGCTACTGTGATAGCATTGTAAGAATTGGGACAATATTGTATTCAACTGTTTTATTTTTTATATTTTTAAATTTTAAAGTATAATTAGTTTTTATAATTTTCATCAGATTTTTTTGTTATATTTTTTGGAAGTGAAACTTTTAGCAAGTGGGTGTCTAGTTTTTACTAATCCCTAATATGTTTTTCCCCCAATGTATTGCTCATATTATCAGAAGGAAAAGTTATTTAAGTATGTCAGTTAATTGTACTACTTGGCTGAATTTCCATATAGTTTTTACTGTGTATGGGGAGGTTGTAGTATTTATTATAGCATTTTAAATAAGGGTAATTCATTTTTTATTAAAGTCATTTTCACGTTTAAGTTCATATTTTTGTATGTTCTACTCTAAGTTATATAACACAAGTTACTTTTTTTAAAGAGTTCATTTGTTGAAGTGCTAGTGAAAATTAATGTTATTAAATAGTTTGCAAATGACTATTTATACCAGTATGCATATAATTTTTAAATATTTGTAATGTGAGATGTTGAATGAATAAAACTTTTAACTCAATGTTTCTTCTTAACCTTTTTCTTTTGAGCCTCCTGTAGGAACTCGTTCCTTTGTGGCCGAAGCTCGCGGGGCTGGGGAGGGAATTTTGTTGAGCTGTGTGGGGTGAAAAGAGCTTTAGGGCAAGTTCTGCTGCCCTGTTCTGCTCACAAGTGCAGCAAAGATGCCTTGGGGAGGTGAAGATGCAGCAGCTGAGGAGAGAACCACCGAGGCACAGGTAACCCCACAAGGGTTTGGGTCCTGTCCCTCCATCCCTTGTAAAGGTCCTCTCTCCATCTTTCCTTCAGATACTGGAAGGCCACCGTTGGGTCAACCAAATCCTTCTCTTTTCCAGGCTGAACAATCCCAGCTCCTTCAGCCAGAGAGAGACCAGAGACCACGGTGCAGTGGGACAGACAGAACCAGAGCGAGGCCAGAGCAGAGCCCAGCAAGGCAGGGACAGACAGGGAATCCTCTTTGATTGTTTCACGCTTGTGATCTGACAGTAACAGAGGGAAGGCATCTGACATTTTAGAGAACTTGCTCGTTTCAGCCTTTAATATAAAATATCTGAACTTGAAATACCTGGAAAGTTGTGTGGAGTGTTGCTACCTTACAGATCTGCTCTTGGAGGGCTGTTCAGCAGCTTAAGGAATCCCAGAGTTGTGCTGCTAATCTCCAGTGCCATCACTGAAGGAATTGTGGTGCAAATGTTCAGTGGATGGTGAGTCTCCTTCCTTTGTGTGGGTGCTCCCGAAATGCAGGTCCTGCAGCTCTGATAGGATTAGTTCTGATCCCTTCACTTGCTTTTGCCTTCACCTGGTGCACGTGGAGCAGCTCCAGCCTTGGGAAATTGGTTTTTAACAGCAATGGGAAGCTTTGCTGGTGGTTCCATGCAGATATTCCCAATTTCCTTTGCCATGACTGTTAGAACAGAAAGCTGGGAGGCTGGGATCAGGAGTGGCTGGAGGTGCATTGCCTGCCCAGTGAGTCAGGAGTTCCTCAGTGCTCGGTGCCAGCCAGGCAGCACCAGACACTCTTGACCAGCTCCAGCTGTGACTTGGCTGGGAAACTTTATCCCTCTGTTCCCTGCACTGGGATTGTTGGGAAATAGCCACAGTTCTTGACATTATTTTCAAGTGAAAATGGTCTTTTAGACAACATATGCTTATTTATGTGTTTGTGTTTTTTCACAAGTGTGACAGACTTGAAATCTGGTCCTGGAGTATGAAAGGTTTAAGGCTTTGGATGCCGTGGTGGTGGAACCAGCAATGTCCTTCACAAACAGGGCACTCCCTGCCTGACTCCAAAGTCCTGAAAACTTAGAGAGTTTCTCAGGGTCCAACATCTGATTTACAGTTGGGAATTACAGTGTATATTCATTCTAGAATCCTCCTATTCTGAAGATTGCAGAATCCTTGGTGAATGTTTAAGTTTTCTTACTAATCAAAGTGTAAAACATTGAAATCAATAAGGGTAAAGGTCTGTATCATTCAAAACTCCAAATAATCTATTGGGAGTGGTGGGCTGATTCTGAATTGCTGGTAAGTTTCTTGGGCAATGACACAACAAATCCATTTTGGGTTTCACTTTGCACTGAAGCTGCAAGTAAATGCTACAGGCAGACTCCAGAAGATGGAGGTAAGCCCTGCTGGGAGGAATTCCAGAATTTCCAGTGTGTGTGATTCCCAGCTTTTTCCTTCCAGCACAGTCCCCAGGGGCCCTCTCGGGTGCCAATGGCACTGAAGGAGCTGCCACATTCCAGGCCGGTGCAGGAGGTGGATGGACCCAATCTCCCCCTGATTTAGAGGCTGAGCTGATCTCCAGGACGTGCTCTGAGCTGTCAGGTTGTTGTGGGACACTTCCTGCTCAGCCCTGACCCTCCAGCTGCTGCTCCCAAAACGCTCAGTGCGGCTCCAGGGAATCTGGGACGAGCCATAGCCTCGGAAGGGGGAGATGAGGAGAAAAGCTGCCATCCCTTCCTCTGTGTGAAATAAGCTGATTCAGTTTGTCAGAGTGAAAAACAGCCTGTGGGATAAGAATATCCTCACAGCTGTCTGTGCACTCAGAGGAACTGAAGGGGGTGAATCAGTGCTCTGAATACACCACTGAAAGTCTTCCTGCACCCCCATGCTCTGATTGATGCCATCACATATCACCTGTTTTCATGGCACAGGAACTACAATTTCCTGACTTCTTGTAGGGCTTGTCAGAGAGACAATTGGATACTAAATGCTGGTTTACTTGAATGCATCTCTCCCTAAGGGAAGCTGTCTCTGTCACTTTGTTTATGGAGCGTGGGAGACCGTGTTCTGTTAAGGTTCCTCCATGAAATTTGCTGGTCCAAAGTTCTCAGTCCTCCTGGTATACAAAAAAGACAGAGATGTATTAAGTCAGTGCTTGATTACGTTTTTCCTCCTGAAATTTAATCTGGTGAGTCATGAAAGCTGAGATTAAATCCTCTGAGCACAGCATAGGTCAAGGATGACTGTGAGGACACATTTTTGGGTTTGTATTCTCAACAGTGTTTAAAATGGATGTAGTTTTGTTGCTGTCAGCTGTGGGATATTTCTTTATCCCAAAACTTTGAGTTGCTTTGCTTTTCAAGGGAGAAGAACATTGGTTTTAAACGGCAGTGATGGGGTAGATGCAGTGGACACACACTCTGTGCCTCAGTAACTCAGACCAGATCTGAAATCCATGGAAGGAGAGCAATGCATTAAAAAAAAAGAAATCTCTGCCAGCTTTGTCCAACCCAAGGCTTGAAAAGAATGTTTGCTCGGTGTAAATCACCATCTGACATGGCTGCTGACTCACAGACCAGGATCAGTTTGCTCAGGGATTGTTCAGGCCTTGCTGTGCATTAAGTTGTCACTTTGGCCAAGTGTCACTTTGCAAGGCAATGCTTGTGGCTTTAAGCTGATACCCAGTGCTGGGCTGGGTTGGGAGCACGTTTCATTTTTCTGAGTTTAAATGGGATTCCTTACGTTTCTGAGGCATTCTCCTGCAAGCAGCAGCAACAGCAGCCCCCAGCTCTGCTGCAGTGGGCCAGCTGTGCATGGACAGATGTTGCTCTGTACACACTGGCAAAATCAGCCCAGCTCTTCACTCAGTGGAAAGGGAATTTGCTCAAGCGTTGCTTTTGCAGGGGGTGTCTGTGGAGGAATGTGAGGGCAGAACAAAGCAGTGACTGCTTCCATTTTCTCTGCAGAGGGAGCAATCCATGGAGACAGAGCCCTGCTCTGCTCCTCTCCTGGCAGCATCCTGATGTCTCTGTGGGAGGGAGGGAAGGAGGAGGGAATGCTCAGTGCCATTACAGGGTGGCCTTGCTGCTGAGAATCCCAGAACCTTTTGGGTTGGAAAAGAGCTCAGAGTCCATCGAGTCCAAGCTGTGCCCCATCCCCACCTTGCCCCCAGCCCAGAGCACTGAGTGCCACCTCCAGGGATGGGCACTCCTGCAGCCAGGTGTGTTGGTGGTCACACTTTGGCCTGGGATCCTGTTAGATCTCAGAGGACAAGTAAGAAATTGTGAGCTTTCTGTGCCTGGTCTTGGGTTATCCACTTTAATGCTGAATCTGGGGATGATCTAGTGTTTTTTGCATTTTACATCCTGCATGAGCCAGGATTCTTTCAGCATCTGGAGGGTTATGGCAGGTAGGGCTGAACTTCCTCAGCTGTGTGTTCTCTCAGAATCTAACTGCACATTCCCCTGAATGGAGACTTTTAATCTTTAATATCATAGACTCTGCAGCCTAAAACTTGGTAGAGTTTCCCTACCTCTGATTTGGAAACAAATATTGATAGCTTGCACATTTAGTTCATTTTTCATTTGGAAAATGAAATCAGAGCAAGTGAAGTCCTCACCTGCCTTCTGCTTCATCTATTTGCAAATCAGGCTGTGTTATTCTGGTGTAATCTCAGGGCTCATTTTGTCTCCTTGTTTTCTCCACAGTTTTATTTCCAATTGGCAATCTGTTGAAATACTGTAGCACAAAGTTCTGCTAAGCCAGGGGTTTTGATCTCCTTGACGTGGGTTTTGTTGTAAAGCCCATGGATCTTCTCAGTGATGTGGAAATCTCTCCAGGGGAGGCTCAGACTTTTATGTAACACAGTTTATAGTCTGCTAAATATTTTTATGCACAGCATGAAGAGATGGGAGAACTGGCTTCTCCTTATGAGTGGTGTGGAGGAAGGGATTCCCATGTGTGTGGTTTGTAAAGCAGTGGGAGCTGTGCAGGTTCACTGCTGTGAAATGCAGGTGCTGTTCCATTTTTCTCTGCTGCCCCATTACTGCTCACACAATTAACTGAGAGGCAGGCGAAATGATGAAAGAAGTAAGAAGAAACTGAAGGCAAATTCATTGCTTTGACTTAGCAGAAGTCGTGACTTTTGTTTTTATAATGATTCCTGGTTACACTAATAAATGGTCCCCAGTGTCTTTTGTGCAGTAACCACATACTAATGAAATCCCTCACTCCAGTGACTTATTAAATATTCTGTGAAAATGAAGGCGATAGAATAATTGTTTGTACTACTGCTGAGGGTGTAATTAACAAGGTCTGAGTGTAGCTGTTGTCAGAATGAGCACACTTTTCCCTGTTCAGTGTCAGAGTCCTCCCTCAGTCCTACCTATATATTCACCCTTTGCAGTTGATCAAGGCAATGTTACACTTAATGAGCAATGACCTTGCCAGAGTTACGTTGAATTTTAGGGTAATTTTAGGTGAGATGCATGGAAGAAATTGTTCCCTGTGAGGGTGGGCAGGCCCTGGCACAGGGTGCCCAGAGCAGCTGTGGCTGCCCCTGGATCCCTGGCAGTGCCCAAGGTCAGGCTGGACGGGGCTTGGAGCCACCTGGGACAGAGGAAGGTGTCCCATGCCATGGCAGGGCCAGAATGAGATGATTTTTAATGGTCCCACCCAATCCATTCTGTGGTTCCATGAATTCTGTGGAATCATGTGAGTACTTTCCACTGCAAAGAATGCTCAGAGAAACCCGAATCTCCCCCAGCAGCAGAAGGGTGG